AAAGGTGTATCAAAGTTTGTAATGCCTAAAATTTTTGAGCCACGAATTTTTATCTAAATTCTAACTTTACTGAATTTCTATTCTTTCATTTTAGCGCTGCATATATATAATAAATACATACAGCAAAATATAGGATAAAATCGAAGTAGCGGGTTAAATTGTTATACGTGGTTTAACGTCCTTACATGATTTTTACCTCGTTATCCTTTATACGTTCAGACTATAAAGGAAAAAAAAGAGGCAAAATAAAATTGCAAGGAAAAGGAAATACAGCTGAATACGACAGATTTTAGATTAGCCCTCGAGGAACATGTTAGTCACTTGTTCAGGGGAAGCACGTGCCAGCTCATCGATTTGTAATTGCAGCCGCGACGCGTCCCTTGCCCCATTGATGACTTGGTGCCAGACGACAACATACGGCAGGCGCCAGATAACAAAGAACGTGCCCTAGCCGGTCTTTCTCTCTAGGCAATATCAACCTGTACACGCGATTGTGAGTAATCCTTTTCAATTTTCAATCTTTTACATTTAATTTTATTCCAACATGATCCTGTTGTAATAAAATTTTAAATAAAATATTTATTCAAAGAATGTAATCTCTGTAAGCACAATATAAAAGTTATTATCTTCTTGCTGAGATAAGATTCGAATAATATAAATGTATATTATATGAATCATTTGATTATAAATTTCTGATTACATACTTATTTTCTTGGATAAGAAAGGGTTATTTCTTACGTCTGTTTCTATATTCGTAGCATGATGAAGCAACTCATACCGCAGATTCCTCGATGCAAACTACATTTCGAGAATTCCATAGGTCGTGGATGATTTCATGGATAACTAGAATTTACTCGTGTACCGCAATGCAATTCCACGTTGTATTCCTCTATTTATATCCTTATAATACGGAAAAATTGGTATGTTAACGTACCTAACGATTTCTTTATATTCTTATATCACTTGTGATACTAATAAGTAATAAAACTTGTGAATATATAAAGTAAATAGTTTCTTACAAAAACAAAAATTAAGAGATCAAAGGATCCGAAATTTAAATGCGGAAAAATTCAGATATTTAAACGTAATATTCTGATTAACAGATATATCTATACAATTGTATAGCATAATAAGTAGGAAAAGTAACAGTAGTAATAACTTTAATTAATACATCTATTCGATTACAGTATAGTAAATAGAAAACATAATAACTATACCATCTTATAGGAAATTAAAAATTCTATGAGAGAAGAAGAAAAAGAGAAAGAGACAAAACCTATGACTTATTATAAAATCAGATGTATGACAATAATTCATATTTATTAATTTAAATAATATTGTTGTAATATTAAAATAATAATATTTATATTTATATCTGCATATATATATGCAAATATAAATATAAATATATAATTAAAAGAATATTCCAACTATCTAATTATTTGTATATACATATTGATAGCTCAATTAAAATTATGTAATCAAATTAAAATGTTTGTTTAGAGCAGAAGAGTATTACACGTATGATAGATATGAGAGATAGGAAAAAAGAAAACAGGTGTACGTTACGCATCTCGCGACTTCCGGTACGGTAGGCTAAGATACGGCGCGCGCGTGGCAAAGGACGGAGGCGTATTTCGATCGCGGTCGGAGGTAGCGCGAAAATTTGCTCCCGTTTTTCTCAATACGATGACAGAGCGGTGACAACGCGGGCACGTTCACTGTTGTGCGACGCGATCCGAGAACACGAAGCGACGTACGTAAGCGAGACACGCGGCCGGCCGGCTGGTCGCCGTCGACCTTGCGCGCGTTACTCCACTTTCGAACGAGGCTAACCGCGAGGTGAACGTTACATCGTTTTGCCTTCGTGCGCATTTAGCAGATATGCGAGCGACATTTAACCCTTTCATTCGTGATACTTCTATTTTCGTAGTCGAGTGTAAGTATGTTACGATAATTTTTATTATGAAAGAAAAAATTTGCAAACGCGTTTTTTGGGAGGGAGGAAAATGTTTCTTTCTGATAAAAATAATTTTTTAACGCTCGAGTGATGGTTTATAATTATTTGTATGATTTGCAAAAGATACGCTTACAGATACTTTTGTTTGCATAGTTGACTAAATTATATTAAAAGAAATATAAAAAGCTATTAAAAAATATGAAAAAATTCTTTTAAAAATTTATAATTTAAATAGATAATGAAATTATGATACTTTGCGTGAGAAAGTTTGTTCTACAAGCAATGCAACTTGTGTTATGTTTCTAAGAAGAATCTCTATCGTGGTGTCTCTCATGGTGACACAGATAACGTCGCTTGGATGCGCGATAGTACATTTCACATCTTAATATCAGTAAGCACTTGTTCAGTAAATGCGTCACTAATGTATATCTATGGAATTTACCACTAGAATATTACTTATAACCGTTTCCCGCGCCGCAAAGTTTTTCAATTTATTTTTTATGACGTAAATATGACGTAAGTTCCGTGAAGAGAAAGATTACAATTTATAATGATGTGGTATTCACATATAGATCACCATGGCATATAAGAGACTCTATTATTTTATATTTGCTTAAATAAGAATAATTTGTTCGTATTTTATGATTAAGGCGATTTATAATTTTATATTTAATTAGCTTAATTAGCAACAAAATATCACAATAAATATGAATCCTGCTATATTGCCAGATAATCAACAATTTTTTGGCAAAACAATGTTTAATATTTCTTGGATTTTATCTTGATAATATTATCACTTTCTATTTATATAGAATAAATTTATAGATTCTAACAAAAAAAAATTTATAAAAAATATTGGTCTATAATTTTTCAATTGAGAAATAGCGACCTAAAATTTAAACGACAATTTCAGTTTTGAGTATATGTTGGAATTTAAAAAGCTCAGACTATCTTGATAATATTATCACGTTCTATTTATATAGAATAAATATTTATAGATTCCAACAAAAGAAAAATTTATAAAAAAAATTGGTCTATAATTTTTCAATTGAGAAATAGCGACCTAAAATTTAAACGACAATTTCAGTTTTGAGTATATGTTGGAATTTAAAAAGCTCAAACTAAACGAGAATTTCTATTGCTATCAAAATTGGTATTTAATCGAAAAGTAATTACGTTTACACGAGTACGATTTTATCGCTTGTATTTAGAAGTCGAGTGGGAAGACACGCATTCTTATGAAGGCGGGATAACAATGGCAGACACGTGCTATTTCACGATGTACATCTTGTTAAAGCAATTACGTGAATTGGATGAAGCCTAAGCATGCAAGAGCCGCAGTGTATAAAAAACACAACACGTTCCCCTATTCTTATCAAGATACAAAAATTTATTGTGAAAATTATTCCTTTATCTGTTTGAAAATTAAGCAAATTAGCACAGCTTTCTGAACGTATACATTATGCATAAATTAAGTTTAACGAACGCTTATTATATGTGCGATGAAACAGTCTTAAACTTGGACATATATTCTCATATCTATAAATTAAATCATCAAATTCCAATTTTTATAGAAAATATTTTTACTAAATATTCAATAGTGCGAGACATTCAATGAACACAATAATGTGTAAATTAAAAATAACATTCTAATGTAAAATAATTAATGACTATGGTTGATATAAAACGTTTCAGCTCGACGTTGTAGCTATTTCAATGGCAGGTGTCGTTATCTTTTTTCCACGATGATAACAGTAATAGTATATCGTAGTTTCATAGAACTTTCTTAGAATTTCCTTTAGATTCAAAACATGCGACTGCATTTGATATTTCGCGATTTATTTATACAGTTTAAGTGTGTATTTCGTATATAAAATATACGTAATATCCGACAAGAAATAATAAAAGAAATATCCGCATTACTTTCGCTAATTTTATCATATATTCTCTCGTATTTACAAACAAATAAAAACATTTCAAGAAAAAAAATTATATTTGGAGCAGCTGTTTTTTCGCGTATTATCAGACACAATGTTACTTTGTTTACGTTTCCTGACGATTCGTTAAATAATACAAGAAAAAAAAGTACATAATTTCACGCACAAGATTCTTATTTCAAAGTAATTTTTGACTTTTATAAAATATTATCCTTTTGTGTATGTTAAAAACAAAAAATATCCAGAATATTTTATTTCGGAGAAAAATGTTATATGAAGTATATAAAAAAAAATTTAAGAAAATGAGAAGAATGCTCATTTTTTCAACAAGATAATTTATAATTTTTCATTATTAGTTTGTTAAATTTGCTGTTTATGGTTTGGAATTATTATGTGTGACCACGAGTTTTATACTATATAATATAACTCTATTCGGATGTTCGTCGCGATGAAACTTAAAGATATACATGCAACGCACGTGTGTTTAATATGTCGTACGTTTCTTTGCACAGTGATATCGCATCTGTGCTCGAAAAATGCTCATTATTTATGAACGTAGTGTTACGAATCAATTTTCAACTTCTTAAAATTTTTCTCTTCACTTTATTGTCGTGGTTGTCTGATATTCATTTTGCGTTAAATTGCAAAATTACATTAAACTTATTTTCTACTTTCCATAGGTAAATTGCCTTTTCTTCCTCGCGTTCAACAGACTCGCGTTTATTTTTATCTTAAATATCGGATATAATTATCGCTAAATACGCCGTATTAAGGAAACGCAGGCAAAATTGATTTCAGTAACAGACGGTAGCGTTTAGCGGTAAATGCGACCCTGAATGCATCGTTACATAGAAACGAAAGTGAAAGTGAAACACGGGTCTTTGACAGCGATCATCCGGCAGATCGATGAAAATATATAGACACGCACCATGGGTCATCACATCCGCAGAATTTCCACGACGGATTAATTTCGCGCCGTAAAAAGCGAAATTTAACGATCATCCTTGAGGCGTTCAAAGGCGCGCGATAGCTTTGCTAATTCAAAATCACGAGACCGTGAAATTCGGTAGAAATACAGCGTAGTAATATACATATCAACTTACCCGAACGAATCGCGGCCGGTTGAAGCCGCCATCGTCGACGATGTCCCCTGCCACGATCGGAATATTCATTGTGGCATTATTTCGTCCCTATGTCGATCAAGAGCTCCGATCACCATCCGAGAACACTAATAGATTCGTCGCGTGCACCAAGCATCATTCGTAACACTTTGACGAATAACCGAACGTGATGCGCCGGTTAATAACACGCGTGCGCGATCCGAGAGTTTCAGGCCGCGACGAATTTAAATCGTGTTATAACCGTCGTGATAGAACGCTGCGGACGATCCTCGTCAACTCGTCCGTTCGCGTGACTCCTCTTCCCGACGACGTTGCTTCGAAAGCGAAGTAATAAAACTGTACCGCGCGCGACTCTCGATTTCGTCGATCGGCGCGGAAAATCGAAGCGCGGATCGATATCGAGCGGAGGCGGGGGAGGGGGGGATCAACCGTAGAACCGCCGCGGGGAGGTTAACAATAATTGGCGCGAAACAATGCTGTATCTCCTCGGCGAGTGCTCCGGCATCGCGCACCGCTCAGCAGGACACAGCGCCTATGTTCACGTTGCTCGGACACAGTGGGTAACCCCGATCGCGAGCCGAATGTCAACCGTACGTCAATCGCGCGTAACGGATAAGCGTGATACGCGGCGAGAGTACAGGAGACGCGTACCACGCGACCGCTCGTGTTGGACTGTCGCGCACTCTCGGAGCGCTGGCGACGCAGCGGCGCCCCTGCAGATACCGCACACGTACACACGCACACATACCAACCTACACACCGATGCGAGCCCATTGCAAGTCCCCATGTACAATGCACCATGCTAACCGATGGCCATTGGTCACGTTATTTATTGTCGAGCTTATTGTCAGAGTTTCCGGTAATCGCATGTCGGTTAATCCTTTTTTTTTTTTTCAGAAATGTTTGAATAGGTTTTCTTTTTGAAAATACTGTGTGCTTTTCCTATTTTCCGACCTTCCAGTATTCTGTTTCAGTTTTTCGCAGATGCTCTTAAACCCTTCTTACCGTAGCCGATAATATACGTTGTTGCTAATAACTCGTGTCATTAATCATTTAAATCGTCTAAACTGTCAGAATTCTCGCAGCAACCGTTATTAAGAATAAAAGATTCGCGACTGTCGACTCGGATTAAAGCCGAGCAACGTGGATTAGCGCGCGTGCCCCGATTAACTATAAATTATAGTGCATTTATGCATTTTAGCGACACAGCTGCATTAAAACCTGTCGCGCAGGTATTGACATAAAAATGAAAGCATAAAAATATAAAGGACTCAGCGTGACTCACCGTATCCATTTTGAAGAATTCGTTGGAATTTGCATCTATGCCTAGCTATAAAAGTTCTTCCGACTATATATACAATATATCTGTGTACCTGCTTTTGAGATCCAGCTTTCAAATTACTTTGTCCTTATACCTTTCAAACAAGTGTGCGACAGAAAGGCGCTTTTATTGCACGCTATGATTTTACTGTGAAAGCTAAATGCGTAAAAGATCTCTAAAAAAGTTGTAAGAATTTCTTATTGTTACTGGTAACGAAGATTCTTTTCACAGCGCGAAAAAAGAACTAGTATTGGCGCGATTTTGGTGAAATTATATAGTACACTAGATGCCAGAACTGATTTAACATGAAATTAACAACATTTCGGAGCACATTTAAACTATACGCATTCTCTTCTAAATATTTGTGTACCGTGACTCAGAATTTTATCGGATAATGAGTTGGACATCTATAATCATTTAATACATGTAAAAGATTAGACGATAAATGTAAGATTAAAAGATAAATGACAGCTCATTTAAACAATTGATTTAATCAACAAAAATAGCTTTGAATTTCTTAATCAATGGTTATAACACAAATATCTAGATAAAATGTGTAGAGTTTCAAAATAAGTAAATAAGTAAATAGTAAGACACTTCTAGAATCCAGTGCTCTTTTATATATATATATTGCCACATTTTTTTGAAAATGTTAAGACTTCTTTACAGAAGGATTCCTAAGTATTTTATATTCGAGAAGATTACTTCTCACACATAACTCTGTTTTAAACATTATACTTCTTATATAGTATATATCATTGATTGTTTTAACATTGCCCTTTGCATTTTTTTAATGCGTGTGTGCAGTCTCAATATATATAGTCTATGGTCGTAAAAATTTAAATTACTTAAGCACCTACATTCAGGGTATGTCTAAAGTATCCACTTTCTTTGCAATACGAATTCTACCGCTGAAAATAACACGAAGAACTTTTTTACACCATTGCTCCTTTCGCGGAATTCTGACGAGGTATGTGTCCATAGAGGTATACCCTGACATACTGTGCCGCGGGCACCCCGCAGTGGCGTAATCGCGGGGGGGTCCGAGGACGGTCATCGTCGGGAAAGGTCGAGGCGGCCTTTCGCGCTCTGTGGAATGCGACGAAGAAATCATCTTCGACGGCGCATCGACGAGTACTCGATGAACATTCGAAGCCGGACGTTATCGTGTCGCGGCATCACGATGTGAAACACGTGGTACATTCCTCGAAACCGCTTACGAGTATGTACCTGCGATCGAATTTGGTGAAAGGACGGGCGCGTTTTCGAAAGTCGGGGCGCGTCGTTAAATATGCATTAATGCTATCGACCAGGAGGTGATCGGTTGTTGCCGACAGGCAAGTTTACGCAACGTCATTAAAACAATTATTAAAAATTTCGCGGCAGAGGAAGGACGCGAGACGAACATTAGACAAATTTGTGATCATTGCTTGGAAAGAGGATCGTAGATAGTTAGATAATATTGAAACTCGCGCGTCGCCATTCGATAATTATATCAGATTGTCGTAATTTAAATCCACTTTCCTGGTATAAATAAGACATTTATATCGCCGGTTACGCGTAGCAATAGCTATCTTATAATTATTACGACTATTGCATCTAGGTCACGATATCATGCATAATACAGAATTACACCATCATGGTCATTAATTGCGTTGTTTATAACATTTGCTTTTGCTATTGCAATATGTAATTTTTTTACAGCAGAATAGAGAGAGTGTATAGAAAATTATTAAAATATTTCAAATTTTTATAAGTTACATAATATACATATATATATTTAAATAACTTTGAAGCCAACAATAAATGTAAAGCTGTTGTCATTTTATATGTTTTAATTTCAGATTTAACAGATGCAACTACAAAACAGCATTTGCACTAAATGTAAATTATGATGGAGTTGGAAGGATTATGCAAGTACATATATAAGAAAAACTGGATCGCGTCCTCGTCTTCAGAAATGAAGAAAAAAATGATAAAATGGGAGAACTTCGGCGTAAAACAGGTGAACAATCAAGGTATGTTTCTCTTAAACATGATCGATCGATATCACGTGTAATGCACGCGTGATTGCGTGTCATAGCAGCTCGCGACCGACAATTTCGCTCACGTTCCCTCGATTTCTCTTGATATTCATGGCTTTAACACATTCGATGCGATGGCCTTTGACTGTGCGAGAATCGAGGATTATCTAACGATGAAATAAACAGATTTCATTTCTTTTGTTACTAGCTTGCTATTTTTATTTGCTATTGGCATTCCGTTGATCATATACGTATTTTATAAGCGTAATCAGCCGAATTTTATGCTTATTTAATTAAATATAGGTATAATGCCGTTCATAAATTATTGGATTTGATATAACACTTTTTTTTTCATGACGTGTTTAAATAAATATCTTTAGAATAAAGATCATTATATATATATATATAAAATATACACAACAAAATATAAATTTTTTATCCTTGCGAGGAAATAAAATGGAAATATATTTAATTATCATTATAAATATTATTTAGCTTCAAATTGAAGAGCGTGTGTAAACTTATGAATACAATGTATGATATAATGTCATTGACGATTTCTATTCTCATCGGATATGTTGAATCAGAATACCTCACGATTACACGATGCTGAAGAATGTTGAGAAATAACAGATACACAATATAGATAATAATAATAATAATATTTATAATATTATTTATAAATTCGCGTATTCACAGTATAGATACAGAAATGGATACTTAATATAAATTCTAAAATTACGTATTTAACTACAATATTAACAAATAGTTCGTTCATTACGAGATTCGATCCATAGGCAATGTGATTTCAATTTCCGCCGTATTTTCTACAGATACGTATAATTACTTCGGGGAAATACAGCTGACGGGCGTGCGCGCTTTCTCTCGTTATCTTCTTTTCACGAATATCGTTCTATATATATAAAAGCTGTGTTGAAATATACATGTACGCATTTAAGATGGTCCACGTAACGTTTTGCGTTTTCGCCGATAATGTATAAAAGAATGTGCACGCGGAACGAGTTCGAAAATCGCACTGTGCAGAGAATGCGACGTCGTGGAGATACTTCCGCGATTTTTGCGGCTTGAGGAACCGGCTCGTTACGTCGCCTTTCGCTAGACATTTCGAACGTGCCTGGCATAGTTACCCCACCGCGTGGCACGCAGTTACTTGCTAACTAACTAACTAAACGATGCGATTTCGCTCTCTTATTGAGGCAGTAAAATTTTTCAAGCGCGCGAGATTGATATTTTCCACGTTGCATTTGGAATTATTTTTTACATGCGTTTCGCTTGTGATGTTATGATACGCATTAGCCTATTCGAATACTCATCACTCATCGTCAAAGGTGGTAATCGATTTTTTGTCAACATTGCAAATTCAGCGTGCATGTAAAAAATGAACGAATTGCAATCTGTTCTGTTATTTTATGATTTACATTGATTAATTTCTCGCGCGACTTTAAGTTTTTGATATTGCTATCTTTTTTCATTTATATAAACGTGATAATAGACAACATAATTGTATATTATGTCGCATGTTATCTATTGCCGTAATCGGATCCGTAATGTTCACATATCCGTTTCCCAAGATTTCCATTTCTCTCCCTCTCTCTCCCTTCCTGAGTTTATTTCATCGCTATCAAAAGTATCGATAAATATCAAATATCGCGAACCTGTGTTACCAAGCATTAATTATCACAAAATGCAAACGTTGCGTTGAATTAGCTATTTCTCTTAAAAGTAGTTTCAGTTTTTTTGCTTGTAGATAAATGTGTATCAGTAGTGAAATACTTGCATTGTAAAATATGCAAATGTGTTTTTTTAGGACGAGTAAAAACTATTATTAAAATTTGTCGCAGAATTATGCGTCATTTCAGTGTACAAAACAACAAAATGTTTTAAATATATATTATTATTGAAAATATCTTTATATATTGAGGATTATATGTGAGCAATGAATGAGGCAAATGTCAAATTATGCTTTGCAGTCGTTTTATCGGGCCAGAGAAGAAAGAATTATAGATAAATCATCATTACTGTTTTCATTTCATAATGTCGAAATAAGATAATTACGAACCTCATCCTCATGCAACAATTTCCGATTGCATGCAAAATATTATTACGCCAAAAAAGGCGTATTTTTGTTACATTACTGTTTTCTATAGTAAACGAAAAGTTACTACAAAGGTAAATAATTTATACAAATACATCTCAGTGTCGTATAATTTCGAATCGCGACAACTCTCGAGATGAAAAATATATATATATATATATTTACAGTACGTACATAAATAAATGCAAATCTATCGCCTGACTCGTCGAAAGA